CACCCCCCCCCGCCCTCCTGTACCCTCCTGCACCGCCCCCCCGCCCTCCTGCCCCGTGGCCCCTCCTGCCCCCGCGGCAGACCTAGCGACTGGGCCGGAGTGCACTGGCCCCCTCTCGAGACCATCCGGGCACCACAGACGCACGTCTCCTGCCCCGGCCCTCCTCGCACTCCGGGCACCCTGTGCACGCGCCCTCCGGTGCGGGTGTGCCATCCTGATATCTCGACTTCCGGGGGGCTCGGAAGGAGCAGGTGGTGGAGGGGGCAGGGGAAAGATGGGTGGGGGGCAGGATGGGGGGGGAGGCTAGACCAAGGCACTGCGGGGGAGAGGCAGGGCGTGAAGAATGGGGACCAGCCATGCAGCTGTTCAGTCGGGCTGACAGCCACCCCCTCAGGAACGAAACACCTAGCTTGAGCAACTCATTCCCTCAACATTAGCACAAAGAAAAAGGAACATGTGTTTCCTCCTGCAGAACCTGGAGCTTGATCAGGACTCTCAGCTTCTGCACAAAGCTCATGGCTAGCGCTTTGCCATCTGGGCCAAACTTCCTTTCTGGCTTTTTTTTTTGGCTAGGTAATTGGAGGTAAGTGTCTCAGATTTGTCTTCAGGATCCTCAGGTCTCAGCCTGCTAAGTAGCCAGGAGGCCACAGGCACCCACCCAGCTGGTACAACTTGCTTTTATGAACTTTACTTAATCGAAGAAAATAGTTACAAACTGTAAGCAACTGTGATGCCTATGGAGCCTATGGCAGTTCTGTGAATTTTACGCTTCAGAGGAGAATGGCAGCCAAAATTAAATGCTTTCTTGAGCCTTTAGTTTGGATATTCTGATCCAGACAGGTAGGTTTTATTTTTGGCTTATAAGCCAAGATGTTTTAATTTTCCCCATTTTCCCCCTTCAAGGTTAGCGTTCTAATGCTTTGAGCTCCACTTACAACTCCACTTCTAGCTCTTTGGTAGTTCACTAGAAATAAGAGTCTCATAGACTTTTCTGCCTGGGCTGGCTCTGAGACATAAACCTTAGATCTCGGCTTCTTTAGTAGCTAGGGTTACAGTGAGCCACCTGGGCCTGGCTACTTTTTCCCACATTTTTATTAAGTTACAGTGTGGTATTTCCATACCTTCCAGATAGGCAGCTTTAGAAGCTATGACCCCATCTCCTGCAGCAGAGCCCAGGGTGGCTTTGTTGCTCTGCCAGTCCCTGTAGGCCATGCTGGGAGACAGGTGTTCCAGGAATATCCTCCCAGCCCAACCGCCAGCTCTGGGTTCCTGAACTTGGCCTCCAAGCAGGGTCCAGGCCTCAGACGGTGTGGGCTCCACCACCAGGGCCATGCTGAGCCATGCTTTAGGGGATGTTGAAGGAGTTACAGCTGGGTCTGCAGCCTCCTCCAAAACACATGCTGATGGGCTGCATCCCTGTAGGGCTGAGAAGCAGAGGTGCTGGTGTCCAGGAAGGACGGGAAAATCACACCAAGGCAGCAGGGCTGAGGCACAGGAGACATTTTACCTTGGCGGAGACAACGCTAAGCCTCTTAAGAGTTTAAGAAAACAGAATCACACAAAAAGTCCCTGGTTTCCAGCCCTGGGTAAATTAGCAGAAGAACCTGAGGAGACCTTTCAAAGCCTGAGTGATACCAAAAGGGACCTGTCCCCGTGGGCCTGGGGACTTTGTATAATACAGAGCTGTGAGGTCGGTGGCACAGAACTGCCCAGGCCCTCAAATTCAAGAAATGCTTTTCCGTGGCTGGGAAGGTGGCTCAGTGGGAGAGCGCATGCCTTGCATGCCTGAGGCCCTGGGTTCGATTCCTCAGCACCACATAAACAAAAAGAAAAAAGCCGGAAGTGGTGCTGTGGCTCAAGTGGTAGAGTGCTAGCCTTGAGCTGAAGAGCTGAGGGACAGCGCCCAGGCCCAGAGTTCAGGCCCCATGACTGGACCCCCCCAAAAAAAGAACTGCTGCTTCTCCATCGCACATGTGGTGTAATCTCATCAGCCTTTGTCCCTTCTTAGTATCTAAATCTCAACTGTCTGAAAACTCAAAGCCAGCTCCCATATCCACAGGAGCTTAATTTTAACTGTGTTTTTGTCTTCCCTTCCTTCCCCCCTCATTCTCATGTGCGCACTCTCTCTGAACTGGGGATCGAACCCAGGATGTTGCACTTTTCAGGCAAATGCTTTGCCAGTGAGTTACATTCCAGCCCAGGAACTGAGAGAGGAAGGAACTGTAATTGAAGCAGCCTCAGTTGGTTTGAGGAACATGAGAAAGTTCCTCAGTGTGCTGGAGGAACATCGGAATCACATTTGAGTACTGAGCCAGTTTGTGGCCACACCCAAACTTGGTTTACTCTGTCTCCTTGGTGTTTGTTGCTAGTTTGTCTAGCTTCGCCTTCTGGTGTGGTTTGATGCTAAGTGCGGCGGCTGGAGGCGGGTGGGAGGCAGGCAGCAAGTCAGGTAACTAACATGAACTCATTTCTCTAAATCACAGCCCTAACTTCTCTGTTTTCCACAAACTTGAGTCACCAGCCCTGTCCATTCCACAGAACATAGCTCTCTAATGACTTCTACACACAGCAGGCTGGCACTTGTATTTTGTTTGGATCCTTCTGGTAGTTGCCTAAAAACACAACATATGGTAAACGACATTCTAGAGACGATCCTAGGACTTGCACAGCCCTTTCAGTTTGTGAATCACTCTGCCCGTGTGTGTATGAGTGTGTGCGTGCGCGCGTGCGCACACACACACACACACACACTGCTCACAGGATGTTTAGGTGGTCCATAGATGGAGGAAGGAGTCCAGGTTTCAATCCAGAGTCCCCACTAGTCCCTGAGCACGTGTGACAGCACCAGAGCCTGACCCTGGCGACACTGGCACACATGCCATGCATGTTGGATAGGCGGCGTGAGAAGCTACGGCCCCTTCTCCACAGCAGAGCCCAGAGTGGCTTTGTTTGCTCTGCCTGTCGCTTTAGGCAATGCTGGAAGACACTTGTTATTAGTGCTAGGGATGGGGGACCTTGGGGTCCCCAATGAGAGTCAGGGCTCGGTGAATGCCATTGGCTGTCTCCTTAACCTATACCAGTAACCTTGCCGGCCGCCTCAGGACCATTGGCTGCACATGCACCCAGGTGGGGCCCAGGAGCCAGACCTCACAGGAACACCCAGGCTTTATCAGGGCCATCCCTGCTTTCTACAAAGAACACGTGCCCTGTAGTTAGCCTACCCAGCTCTGGCCCAAAGTTAGGCTCAGCTGGGGGGCCCGGGGCCCAGGCCCGGCTGCCCTCAGTGGACAGAAGCAGGCAGAGCTAGAGCGCCAGAAAGCAGCAGTGAGCTAGTCCACACCTGGGCTGGGCGCCCCATGGAGCACCCCCATCCCCACGGCCGCAGCCCTTTGACCTAGCCACTAACTTGATCCCCTGCTCCCTTGGCTCTCCAGGCTCTTCTGGTGAGGGCGGGGTAACATGTCCTCACTGCTTAGAACCAGGTGACTCCTTTATCCACGATGGGCGGAAGGGCAGATGGATGGAGTCTCCCAGTACAGTGGAGGACTTGGAGCGGCTGTCCTGAACTCCCACTGATCTCCAGTATTGTTGTGGTTTTGCCGCATTTGGGAATAGAAACTTAAAATGATAGGTCTTGGGGGGCAAAGGAGGGTTTAGAAAGGGAGGGAAGGAGGGTGAACAAATGCAATCATGCTCTCCAGTATATATTATGTGGAAAGTGAACATGTGGGCAGGAATGAGAGGGGGAAATGGGGAAAGCAAAGGAAGGGGTGGCATTGTCCAAAGAGAAATGTACTCCTCACCTAACATATGAAATGGTAACTCCTCTGTTAACTCCTTAATAATAACAATAAACTTATATTTTAAAAAATGGTGCATCTTAACTAGGCACTGGTGGCTCATGCCTGTAATACTAGCTACCCAGCAGGTTGAGATCTGAGGATCATTGTTTGAAACCAGCCTGCACAGGAAAGACTATGAAACTCTTATCTCCAATTAACCACCTCAAAAACCTGGAAGTGAAGCTATGTCTCAAGTGGCAGAGTGGTAGCCTTGAGCAAAAAAGCTCAGGGACAGCACCCAGGCCTTGAATTCAAGCCCCAGGACCAGCAAGCAAAAACGGTAGGTCTTGCAG